CAGGATGTGAAGATTCTCAACTTAGACAAGAAAAGGGATCATGCTTCAATGGCAAATGTCATACATTGTTATAGACAGACAGTGATAGTGAAGGGAAAGGTAGATTCTCACTTTGCAACATCGAAATCCCACGTACTTTCTGCTTCTCAAAACACCTTTTTTTGACATTTCTGTTTATACATGCTATTCTGAAGCCTGAAATCAAGGATAGAAATATAGATGGTGAGGGGGGGCAGGGGGTGAATGGCAATGGAAGAGGCCACCAAGAAGCAAGTATGGGAGAAACAACCACCCCAGAAAGGTACAGGAGTGAGAGGGACTGGTGGGAAGTATAACAGGAGGCAAGCTATAATAGGAGTGATGCTGTTTTAATTACTGGAATTCCCACAAATGCGAAACACCACCCATCCTCTCCTGACAGTGATGCTGGTGAACAGCCTGAAGACATCTCTGCCTTTTCTCAAGGTGCAAAAACTTTATATAGCCTGCAGTGAGGATGAGGATGGCAACCATTCACCCACCATCATGATGGCCCTGGTCACCGTGTTCTGCTCATCACCAAGCAGACAGGTAAGACTCGGGATGAGAGAAGTTGGGTAGCTTGCTTGAAATCTCACAAAGACTCTGGTTCAGGGTTTCATCTTGCATGAATACTGGTTGCTTTCAGAACACCAAGTGTAGAGAAAAGGGACCAGTCAAAGAAACACACCCTGAGCAGAGCCAAAGAAACACATTTTGGCCCTGCAACCACAACCAAAGAAATGTACCCTGACCCTAAAACCAGTGCCAAAGGAACACACTTTGTCCCTGGAATCAGAGTCAGTGAAAGAAATGTACCCTGGCCCTAAAATTGGAGGCAAAAGGCTAAAAAGGACCAGAGAAAGAAACACACTTTGGCCCTGAAACCAGAGCCAAATCTGACCCTAATCCTGTGTAAAAAGGAACCAACCCCAGAGCAGAGCTCTAGCCAATCTGAGCTCAGCACTGAAATCGGACCAATCCCTACTCTGGAAAAACTTCCCCAATCCCTATATAAACCCTGTGTATGTTCAGCTTGGCTGGTCCAGCTGTCTTCCAATAAACCCCTTTGGATGAGCTTCGGGTGAAGATCTTCTTTTGCGGCGGTGACAGAGCAGAAGCGACCCTGGGCAGAGGAGAGCAGAGCAGAGCCAGCAGCGCTGTAACACTTGCCCGGGAAACCTTCCTTGGCAGAGCAGAGTTGTTACATTCTGCTCCCGGCTCCCTGCTCTCAGGAGCAGAGCTGAACTGTAGCAACTTCGCCCGAGAAACCTCCTGCAGAGCAAAACTGCTACACTAGGCGAACATCCCCAGCTGGAAGACCCTGTCCTGCCGGAGCGGAACTGATACACCGGAGAAGCCTTTCTCTGAGGCAAGGCTGTAAACTGCCAAGCTTACTGCAACCTGTGGTGGTCCTTGGCTCCCAAGCTCCAGGATACCTTTCTACCTGAGCTGTGTAACACTCAGTATCCTTGGCTCCCGAGCTCCAGGATATCTTTCCACCTGAGCTGTGTAACACTGAGTATTCTGTGACTCCCGAGTGCCAGAATACCTGACCCACTCCTGTTCCATCCTGTCCTGACCCATCCCGACGAAACGCTTACACCAAGTCTGGAATATGAATATTTTTGGATTCATAACAGTGACTGTAGAGGGATACATCTGATGGCTCAGAAAGCAAATTAAGCTGGACAAGTCAGACCTGACTGTAAAGATTCAGGCATTATGCTGGCCTGCCCCTGTCACCTGGCAGAATGCACTCAGGCAGTACCCTGGTCAGCCCCAGGGTTCCATGGAGGTACAAAGGACCTCTTTAAGAGAAAGATCCCGCCCACTTAACTGTCTTTCTGCCTGCTCCTCTCTTTCCACTCTTTCTTTCCTGCTGTTCCCCAGGACCAGGCTGGACTTCTCTCTTTCCCTCTTCTCTCCTGTCCTCCCTCTCTCTCTCTCTCTCTCTCTCTCTCTCTCTCTCTCTCTCTCTCTCTCTCTCTCTCTCTCTCTCTCTCTCTCTCTCTCTCTCTCTCTCTCTCTCTGTGACTCTACTGCTTTTCTCTTCCCTTCCCCCTTCCTTCTCTGTTCTTGATTGACCAACACCTACCGCTCCCTTCACTCCCTTTCCCAATAAAGTCCATGTGGGTTTGTTGAGTTTTGTGGTTAATGGTTCATCGCCTGACTCAGCTGCAGCAAATCAACAACACTGACAGCGTAATGACATAATTCAACTGTATCAGGCAGAATTTCAGCATCACTAGCCTCTTCTCTGCTGAGCAGTGCGGTAAGTTCTGTTACACTTAGGGTTTAATATTCCTTCCACTCACTGGTCCATTCATATCTTCCTGCCCCACCCCCAACATCTTACCTGCCCTTTCTAATTCTAACATGCAACCCCTCTTACTTTTCAGTTTACTACATTAATGTTAGTTTTTTTTCCGATATGTTCTACAGTTCTCTGGTGCTCTGCGAAGCATATTCCTAACAGTATGATCCAAAGTCTTTTGTATTAGGGCCCTGTGCTTACAGGCAACTACTGTGATCAGGAACACTGACCTCTTCCCTCCTAGTGCTACTATCGAATTTTATTCCCAAGTCATCTCAAAAGCGTCATGCAATCTCTGCCAGCGGAACCGTGTGTTCTTCTGAGTACTGTGAATGAGGAGAAGCTGCTCTAGAAACTCTTTCTAGATGGAGGAAAGGACCTCCTTTCCCTATCCCCTGGTGGGGGTGGGGGTAGGGGTGCGATCAGGTGAGCATGTGTATGTTTGTGTATAAAACATTAAACTGACACATGGAACTAGTTCCAAATGACTGGAAAGGAACAGAGTTCCAACTGAATATTTGTATATGAATGCAGCATACATGTATGTGTGTTTTAAGGGAGGACTGTATAGGGATTACAGTCAGGATTTGAGGAGATAATTAACCCTGTAGGAGCAATGACTAATCCTCTTTATAGATCATTGTCAGACTGCATCAGGAATCCTACCATATAAAAAGTTGTTTGTGGTCTTCTGGGCAGGTTGAGACTAACAGTGAACCATGCCTTGTGTGAGTAATGCAGGAATACATGAATTTCATGATTGGAAATATGCTGAAGAACTTTTTTTAATTTTTAAATTTAAATTTAAATTAGAAACAAGGTTGCTTCACATGTCAATTCCAGGCCCCTCTCCCTTTCCCTTTCCTCCTCCCACGCCCTCCCTCCAACCCCCCCCCCAATACCTCCTCATTTCCCATGGAGGGCGAGGCCCTCCATGGGATGTCCATAGTCTGTCATTTCATCCAGGGCAGGGCCTAGACCCTCCCCCAAGAGTTCAGGGTGAGAGTACGTCTCTCATTGTGGGATGGGCACCCAAAGTCCATTTGTATGCTAGGGATAAATACTGATCTACTACTCAAGGCCCAATAGATTGCCTAGGCCTTCTTACTGACACCCACATTCAGGGGGTCTTGATCAGTCCCATGCTGGATTCCCAGGCATCAGTCTGGGATTCAAGAGCTAACCCTTGTCAGGTCAGCTGTTTCTGGGGGTTAAACCAGCCCAGTCGTAACCCCTTTGCTCAGCAGTCCTCCCTCTCTGTCACTGGGTTCCTTGAGTTCCTGCTGAAGGACTTTTAAAATGCAACTATAGAATGTTCTGAAATTGGAGTTTGAACAAGTAGAGTATATTGAATGTATACTTTTAAACTGATTCAGCAACTTTTTGAACTTGTTACCTTTTACAATAACAAGCCCATATTTGGACTTGAAAATGCTGGATTAATTATATTCTGTTCTGTTTTGCAGTATGCTTAATTTCAAAACCGCTCAAAATAGGACCTCCGTTGGATGCTTTTATAAGGAAAGATCTGGAATGCCATTTGTCAAACAAGCAACTAGTCACGTTTGCCTATGTCTACACTCTTCTGATGATCTCTGGCTGCAGGCTGTGCAATTATGTTCGTGTGCCCTCGGGTGTACATTTGGTCCTCTAAATTCATGAAGTGACACTTCCTGGAGTCCACCACAGAGAGCACTTTAGGACGGGACACATCACCTTCACAAACCGGGTTAGTAGGGGAGGACTAGCCTGACAGGGTTGAGCATTGGAAATGATGCCTGCAGTGGAATGACACAGTAACGAGCTGCAGGCTCCTGCGGCGGCGCCCCTGCCTGCGTCTGGACCCCTGATCAGGCCCGCCCAACAAGGCTGGCTCCAACCGGCTCCAGCGGAGTCTCCAGCGGAGCCCCGCCCCAGCTGCCTGGCTTACACCGAAATTTAGTCTGCAAGTTTTGTTCTTGAGACTTTTTTTCAGCTTCTGGAAGGAGAGCCGACCTCCGATGGGATGTTTAAGGACTTGGATTTGTACTTGATGAATTTTGCTATGTGCTCCGCTTGAAATTACCTGGGTTCGGAGGTAAAGATCAGTGGGAAAGCTGGGAAGAGGGGAAGGGTTTGCTTTTAAAAAACCAATTGTTTCTGTGCTGCAGTCGCTTAATGTAAATTCGAGTTTCCTTCCTTTGTTATTTAGGCTCCCAGAAGCTCAAGTCCTAAGTGTCCTGACAAAAGACCCACCAGCCATTAAGATTTCTTGCTGGGAAACTAGGACGATCTGAAAACTGCTGCCCATTCAAACCTACAGCTCGTAAATGTCTGAGGGATGCGTGTCCTGGGTGCGTGCATTGAGAGTCTTAACTAACGCGGCTTCTAGATTAAAGTATCCCAGGTCAGTCATTGCCCACGCAGAGTGCGTGCGTTCCCAGCCTGCCACATCCTACTGTGTGAGCCAAGGCCCCGCTGTGTGGCGGGGAGGGGGATATGTGGCCTTGCCCTCTGCTTTAGACTGGGACACTCGCCCACTCGCTGCTGGTCCCGGAGTGGGCTTGCTTTGTGCGGGCTCTGAGATCCTCCCCGAGGGCTGCTATCTCCAGAGTGTAGCTCTCCGGGACCCGCCCCGCCCCGCCGCGCCGCGCCTCCAGCTGCCCCACCCCCGCCCCACGCCAACCCGGATCCGACTAGCCTCTGCGAGGCGGGAAGCGGAGGACCGCCTAGTTCACACGGACAGTGTGGGGCATCAGGGCGGAAAGCGTCGGGAAGATGGACGGCTGGCTCTTCTGTGCGGGCGGAGGCTGCCAGGTCCCGAGGTGCGGAGAGGGAGGGAGCGGGCAGCCGAGCGCCTTTGTTCACTGCGGCCTGTGGGCGCGAGCACCGGGCAGCGACCGCCCCGGCCCAGCTGCGGCCTTTGTGTGGCAGGTCCGATCAGTCGGACGAAGTCCAGTACAGCCGGTTTCCCGGGTCTGCTGATGGGGAGAGGCGGTTGAGGCGTCGCGGGAGCCCAACCCAGCCTCCGCAGGGCTTCATGCTGGGTCGGGAGCTTTACCGATGCCGAAGTGAATTCCTGCCAAACTCCTGGGGCAGTTTGCACATGGGGAAGCTGACCCGTGCTTTGCACTAGTTACTACTGCCCGAAGAAATGGAAACAGGAAAGCAGGCGGGTAGAGAAAACTGGAGAAAGTTCTTCCTAATGAGAAACCCCTGGCTACTCCTGTTACCATTTAACAATACCAAATTTTATTTTGCACGCTAGTGAATTGATTACTCAGATACCCATAAGTAAAAGTAACAGCTTTTGATTCAAATTCTTTGCTGCATTAATGGTTTTCCTAGGTTATGGGTCATTTTACAGGGGCACAGATGCCACCGAATGGGCGGTTGGTGGTGGTAGAGCTAATATTTAGGGTAACTTTCTGGTGAAAGTACATCCATTAGAATTGCATTTGTTCCTCTGTGCCTTTATTTTGGGACACAGCCCGGCCCCAGAGGGCAGGGATGCCAGAGAGGGATATGAGAAATCTGAAACTGACCCAGAAAGGGATGATTGAAGGCAGTGGTGCAGAAATGAGCCCTCTCTGAATGTAGAGGGTGATTAGTGAGCAGTTGATAAAGGCTTGAACTTTATCCAAAGAGGGGTGGGGTACAGGCTCGAAAGTGGAAGATTCTGGGTTCAATCTCCAGCACAAGGGAAAGATGTGTCAAAAGAAACATGTGCAAGATGGGGTGTATTTTTAATGCAAGATAAATTCAGAACCTGAAGGGCACCCATCAAATACTTAAAACACTTTTTCTCTCTCTCTCTCTCTCTCTCTCTCTCTCTCTCTCTCTCTCTCTCTCTCTCTCTCTCTCTCTCTCTCTCTCTCCTTCCCGCCCATCCTCCCTCCCTCCCTTTCCCCCTTCCCTTGCCCTCCCACTCTGCCTCTCCCTATCAGTCATCCAAGGGTTCACTTTTGACACATAAGATTCCACGAGTGTTATGAGCAGTAAGCTGTCTAACTCACGGCAAGCAGCCTTGGAGCCCTTCCTGAGAAACTGGGAGATGAAAGATGAGTAAGCCACAAAGATGCTTGTAATTATATAATTGCTTTGCTCACAAAGAAATTTCAGAAGATGGGAAAGGACTTTCAAAATGAAATCTAGGCCCTCCCGAGTTAAAAAAAAATAGTACTCACATATTTCATTAAAATCTGAATCAAACATCACTTTATAAAAAACAAAATATATCCAAACAAGTATTTGTAATGAAAGTCCATAGGTTTTAGTTTTCAGCTATAGAACAGCTTGGATAATAACTCATGGGTTTCTAAATGGGTCGTTTTTAAATGGGTCAATTTGGATAGAATGATTGCACTTGCAGACTTACAAACTATAAAGAGTTCTGTCTGCAGCCCAAGTACATTCAAATTTACATTTCAGAACCTATATTGGTAGAGCCTGGGAAAAAGCCAGAAGATGGTCTTTCCCAAAGTTACAAAGTGGCAGGAATGTGCTAGGGATTTTATATATGTGCTCAGTTGAGCAGATCCAAGCAAATTATCCAAAGAGTTCCTCCACCGAGCGTCGAATATCTGCCAACAAAGATGTAAAGTAGTATAAATCTAGAATTATAGTACATAGTACACATCAAGTACTCAGTATATATTACTTTTAATATTTCCATATATGTGGATATAGATATATATCTCCCCACACACACTCCAAGTTTAGGAATCCTTACATTTAAAGATAAGAAGCTTGGTCAGATACGATATGAACTTTGAATAAATAAAATGACTTTTTTACATTTAAAGCTATGAATATGAAGGCTGCCTTGGACTGGTCTTGTACCAAGATTTATCTTCTACAGTGAATTATTTAACACCAGAAAACCAGTTTATACAAAACCAGCTTGCTACCAATAAAATTCCAAAAGGTAAAGTTCAAGATCTTGTGATACGGCATAAAATCCACCTAAATTTTCCTTATTTTTATCTCTTTTCCTACTTTCTCATAACTCTTTCTATAACTGTCTGGTAGTATGCTAAGCAAAATAAGCTAACGGGTTGACTCCACTCAGGTTTCAAGTCTCCCTGACTGACGAGCTTTATCTGGCCTGTGCATCACCATCACTGAAAGACATCTTCAGTACAGGACAGTCCTTAGCATTCTTTCTGGCGGAGGATAGTGGACACCACACTTGGTCAGTTATGATCTGTTAGTTGGCTGTTAGCAGTTAATATTTTAATAAATTGCTACCTGACTAATTGTTTTAGAAGAAGCACATTGGAATATAAGCAGTTTTGAAAGGTTGATACTGGCCTGGAAACATCATCCACCTACCAGCTGGTGGTAAAGATCCCTGAATGGTTTCTAGGGAAGGAAAGTTAATGTGTATAAAGTAGCTGATGTGGCCCACATTTTTAAGTTTTGTCAGATGATCCTCACAATACACTGGTACCTAATTCAAAAGCAAGTCAAGTGTAAATGATGAGTAAAATAGAGACACCAAATAAATGTACTTTTTTCATTTTAAAACTATGCAACCTTCTGTTCTCTCTTGCATCTCCCAGGTCCATATTTCAGGTTGCAGCAGCGTACCTCCTGATTCTTTGGTGGATTATCAGACTATGAAACTTCTCTGAAGTCACCCTCAGCATCCTGACTGTGACCTTTTAAGGTATTGACTAGTTACTATCTGTTAAATTCATTAAATGTAGCCATGGCTTACTCTTCAGGGCTGCCCAGAGCAAGGCATGTGTTTCATAAAAGGTATTGTATGATAATGCATTAGCTCAGTGAAGATAATTGTACACTCATTGTTTATACTGTCATTTTGGTTTTTGTCCTCTGTATGGCAAACTCTCAATCAAACGGTGCCTCTAGGTGCCCATAAGCAAATGAGCACCTGGCATAAGACACTGGACATCACTGTATTCCTGAACTTACCATGGTTAAACCCAAGCTCTCCTTTCTAATCTCCTTTTGACATCTCCTATGTAGCTGCTGGTAACCTATTTGGCATTCTTCCCTCTATCTACATTGTTTCCTTTTGTGTGTTTAAAATTGCTATACTTCTGGTTGAGAGCCTTGCTTCCTGCTCCCCAACCCCACCCCAAAAAGTAGCTTCGGGCACTCACTCCACGCAGGTTTTCTCAGATCTGGGACTGCTTCTCTGCTGCTCCCAGTGTATGAACTCCAGCTGTTACTCCAAGTCTTGCTCATTGGCAACCTGTCCTCTTCCTCTACCTTCCCCCCACTTCTCATCTCAGAAGGGAGTCACTCCCTAAAGGACTCTTGATTTAGCAAATGTTAGATGACATCAGATTCATGACTTTCCACTGCCTTTCCCAACTGAATTCAACATTTCAGATGTACCTTGGTGAATATTTTTTTTCTGGATCCTAAGAAATCTCGAGAATGTTTGAAAAAAAAAAATCTTGTTTTTTTTTTCAAGTCCTGGGTTCAGATAAAGCAGTCACTGTGTGTGAAACATCCTGGTGAAGTTGGGAGTGGTGGCAGGTTTTACTGTGTTTTGTATCACACTGGCATGTGAACTTATGGTTTTGATTCATATTCTAGCTATAAGCCTTATGATAGGTAACTGGTTTATATCTCTCAACTATGCTCATTCTTTGCCTATTATTTTATGAGCCAACTTTGAATATACTTTTAAGTTTTGCTTGCCCTTACTCAGGATGCAAATTTTGATACATCTTTTTAAAAAAAGAAATTATTTATGAGGCTAGGGTGTGACTCCCTGTGTGGTATGACTGCTTAATTTTCTGTGTATCCAGTATTTGTTGATCAAATTCTTGCTTCGAATACCCTCTGAATTTCCTCTCCTCTTCTTACCTCCTCCTCACTTCTTTCCTCAACCCTCCCCCTCCACTTTGGGTGGCTTTCCTTAGACCCTCTGGTATTCTTCAGAGAAAGGACTATACACCTTTGCTCATTGTTTACTGATATTGGAACCAAGTTGGAGGGCAGTCTGTGCCCTTAAAGAGTGTAGAAAAGGTTTCTTAGTAAAGAAAAAGTGTTAAAAAACAAACAAACAACAACAAAAACCACAGATGGTAGAAAGTCATGAATGACTTCAAATTCCACATGGTGTAACACCTTTCTTTCTCATTGCTTCTCTGAGCCTTGCTGTGGGAACTCTGGCAAGAGCCATGGCAGGGAGAAAGGCAATTATGAACAGTTGGGACGTTGATCTGGAAATTTTGAAGGTTGAATGGTGTCTCAGTGCCTCAGTTTGTTCTTGGGCAAACATGAAGAGATCTTTTCTCTCCCATAGGTTGTTGCTAGGCTCAAAGAGTGAGCAGTCACATGAAGCACTTAGACGAACACCTGTTATGTAACATACCCATGTTAGTAGCTGTTTATAGAGGCATAAGAAGTTTGTTTCAGCCAGAAAACAAAACATCTGGTGGCAGTGGAGGATTTTATTTAGAGTAGCCAAGCATCCCTGTCAACCCAAAAAACAATGAGTTTAGAAGGCCAAGTTTAAGAAGTAGATATCCAATCTGAAACTTTCTTCATATTTTCTATCTCAAATTCCACATACTCAAACTAGTTACAAGAAAATTGTAGTGATAAGACCATGCTTCTCTCTAACTCCATGCTACCAGTTCCTAGCAAAGCCTTAGGACCCATTTTTACTCATTTTTAATCGGTATTTCTGTATTTACTTCTACCATGCCCAGCACACAGATCTAGCCCATGTTTAACAAAAAGAAACATAATTTAATTTACCTAGGTGGAGATCTTACAACTAGATCACCAAATAGATTGTATAATGCAAACCCCTGTGTCCTTCACAACCATTCTTGCAAAATTGGAACTTAAAATCTTTGGGCTAACATTGAAGAGGTAACTATGAATGCTGTCTTTATAGAAGGTTAATAACTTCAAATGGCTTCTAAATTTTGCCAATGGCTTGAGCTAAAGTTCTGTGACCAAAGACAAATGTTGGATTTTTTTCCATTTTTTATAGTACTTACATTAGAAATATTCAAACCTGAATTAAACAATAATATAATTATAACTGTATATAATAACATAAATATGACTGAAAAGATATCTGATGTTTCACAATGTGTAAACTGAATTACCATGTTGTTTCCTTCTTTGGGGAGCAGAGTAGACACTACCAGCTGGTAATCACTTGCATCACTACAGAAAACTTTATATTTCTTTCTTCTGAGTGATGGCCTGAACAAGATCCAAAAGTTATCTCTTCCATGGGTCTTCATGTAATTCAAGTTTAAATGAAATGATACAATGTATTGAAGCTTAAAAATATTGACTTATTGGAGGAGTCTTTACTGTTTATATTTAATTTTTCATAAACATTTTCTTTAAAGGGACTATTAATATATGCATGACTCACATGGGTATTCTGTATCTTATACTGATTTCAAAATTGTAGGTAGACATCAATTTTTGTCCCATTTTCTATAAAACTATTCTGAAGCAAGTTTTTTTTTAAGAAAACAAAACTTGTTTAGGTTTATTTCTTTTATTTGGCATGTATGAGTGCTTTGCCTGCATGTTTATGTCTGTTTTTTCACCACATGTGTGTCTGATGTCCACAGACATAAGAAGAGGGTGTCAGATCTTCTGGAACTGGAGTTATATGTGGTTGTGAGCCACCACGTGGGTTCTGGGAACCAGACCCTGGTCCTCTGTGGGAGCAAGTGCTCTTAACCTCTAATCATGTTTCAAGCCCCTCTGAGGCAAGTTTCACTACAATGTTTTATTTCTCTCAGAAAGAAAAAAACTAAAACTAGGATATAATGGCTAAATTGCTTAATTGTCTTCTTCTAATCTGTTAGTCTAACCCATTTCCTTCAAGTAACACTGACAACTTAAATAGAATTTCAGGATTTCTTTTTGTTTTGTGAAAGCTCCAGGACAAGAGCTTGTTTTGCCATTTATCCACTACACACACGTTAATCCTATCTTAGTTGTCGAATAAGGTACCTGTTAGAATACCTCCATTATTCATCACTTTGTCCTTGCTCTTCTCCTGTCCCAGCATGCACTGCCCTCCCCGCACCCCCTGCTTTCCTTGCCCTGTGAAGAAATCACCCACATTTATAAAATCGGCATCTTCCTGTTGTGTATGCCCACTGGTGCAATTTTTTGGGGGGAGGGGACATTTCAGAGGAAGGGACATTTCAAAACAGGGTTTCTCTGTGTAGCTTTGTAGACCAGGCCGGCCTCGAACTCACAAAAATCCGCCTGCCTCTGCCTCCTGAGTGCTGGGATTAAAGGCGTACATCACCAATGCCCGGCTCCACTGTTGTAATAAAAAAGGGGGGAGCTGCTTGAGAGAGAAAGATGCCTAGATGCCTTGTGACAGAATTCAAATATAGGGGTTTTTATTAGGGGAAAGGAGTGAGGGAGGGGGGAAGACCAGCCTCCTGGGACAGAGGCTGTGGGAAAGAGGAAAGAGAGGCAAGGGCAGAGGCAGAGAGAAAGAAAGAGAAAGAGAAAAACAGAGAGAGGGGAGAGAGAGAGAGGTGGGAGGTGGGCAGGATCCTTTCAGAAGGGGAAAAAGTGATTAGGCACAGGTGATGCTCTTAGTGGCAGAACTCCAAAGGCAGGCCAGTACAAATGCCTAAATACTAACATGTCAGTACCTTGTTATCTAGTAAATGTGAACCTGCCTCACCCCTACCTCAGTGAGCCAGTGGTCCTCCAGCTAGTGATACTTGAAATCATATTTCACTCCTTCCTCTTTCTTCCCCATCCCAAGCATTTATCAGGCTCTATGGGGATTTTGCTTTTGATAACAAGCTCTTCTATTCTTTTTTTATCAAAGGTCTGTGTGTTATAGGTTCGGTCTCCAGTTGGCTGTAGTGAGAAGTGATGGAGCTTTGAAAGGGTGAGGTCTAGTCCAGGGAGATTGGGTCATTGGAAGTTGACCTTCCAAATGATTATTGCTGATCTGGTAGAGTTAGTTCTCTGGAGAGTCTTGTTACAAGGTAAGGCCACACCACTTGTGTGGCCCCTTCTGAATGTAACTGTTCCCCTCTTTTCTTCATGTTGTGGCATGGCCAAAAGATCCATTGCCAAGGCCAAACACAGGGCTGTTTGATGTTGAATTTTCAGCTTCTCAAACTGGGAACTAAGGCAGTATCTTTTCTTCATAAGTACCCAGCTTCAAGTACTTTTGTTTTGGCAACAGAAAATAAACAGATACATTCCTCCCGTCCGCGCAGCCTTCACGCTAGGTTATACCATCCCTACTGCATTGTACATTAGTATAAGACCCAGATAAACTGGTCTCCAACTAAACTAATAGTGATGGTCTCTAGGGATTGTGTGTTCTGCAACAGATTAATCCTATTTGCTCAAAGTTAACACATACTGAACAAGAGAGCTATGTTACAAAAGAGAGGGAAAGGGAAGAAGAGAGGGGAAAAAGAAAAGGGAAGAAAGAGAGAGAAGGAAGGAAGGAAGGAAGGAAGGAAGGAAGGAGACAAAATCCATGCCTATGCACTGATCATGTTCTATTGTCAACTTGACATGACCTGGAGCTACCTGGGAAGAAGGAACTTCAGCTGCAGAACTGCCTGTATCAGACTGGCCTATGACCAGATCTGAGAACAACTGTCTTAATTGATTGTTGATGTGGGAAGGCCCAGTTACTGTAGGGGCACCATCCATAAGTGTTTTATACAGTCTGGACTATGAACAGCAACAACAATTAAAATAATAATCTATCAAATGTTTTGGTCATGATATTTATGATAACAGAAAGAACTTGCTCTCTGTACCCATTTAACTTCTGTCCTTGATTTTCAAGGTTTTTCATAAGCAGTCACCCACTTCCCTGTAGTTTTTTTTTAATACTCTTTGGGCTCTTTTGGGGGGTTGGCCACCCAACTCCCAAATAAATCATACATGGAGGCTTATTTTTAATTATAAATGCCCAGCCTTGGCTTGTTCCTCAACAGTTTTTCTTAACTTACATTATCCCATCTACCTTTTGCCTCTGGGCTCTTATCTTTCTCTTACTTCTGTAAATCTTACTCTCACTCTTACTCCCTAGCTGGATGGCTGGCCCCCATCATCCTCCTCTCCTTGTTCTCTTGCTCATCCTCCTCTTCCTAGATTTCTCTTGCTATTTATTCTCTGCCTGCCAGCCCTACCTATCATTTTTCCTGCCTTGCTATTGACCGTTCAGCTCTTTATTAGACCAATCAGGTGTTTTAAACAGGCAAAGTAACACAGCTTCACAGAATTAAACAAATGTAGCATAAACAAAAGTAATACATCTTTACATCATTAAACAAATGTTCCACAACATAAATAAATGCAACACACCTTAAAATAATATTCCACAATACTTCCCTCACAAGCTGAGTCTCCTAAGCTTAGGCATGTAAATGAGTGTGGTAAGAATGCACAAGATAAGCTGGTATTGAAGCTGGCTAAGCACAGGTCAAAGATAGGAAGTTGATTGTGCCTGTATTTTGAGTGTGTGTGTGTGTGTGTGTGTGTGTGTGTGTGTGTGTGTGTGTGTGTGTGTTGCCTGCATTCATTTCTGTGAGGGCATTGGGTCTTCTGGAACTGGGGTTAAAGGCAGTTGTGAGCTACAATGTGGGTGCTGGGACTCTAAAAGTGCTCTTAAGTCTCCATCCCAGTGTCTGCAATTCCTTACATTTCAAAGGTCAGTGTACTGTTACTTCCTTTGTTGCTATGATACAAATCTGACAAAATCAACTTAAGGATGGAAAGCTGTGTTTTGGTTCACAGTTTGAGGGTACTATCCATCATGATGGAGAAGTCATGACAGCAGAAGAAAGAGGAATGGGTCACAGTACAGAGTATCCACAAAAGCAAATGCTGGTCTTCTGCTTGCTTCCTCCTTGTTTATTCAGTGGAAGATTCCATCCATTGGACAGGCCTAAAGGTTTGCCTCCAGGTGTTTCTAGATCCTGAAGATCTGACAAGTCAGAATTAATGATCACATTTAAGAACCTTTGTTCTCCTAGGTCTGTTGGAGTTGAAACTATAGATCTGTCCCCAGTGAGAGTGTTGCTAGATTTCTTAAATGTTGATTGATGTTGCTTTAAAGGACTCACCCATCAAGGATCATCTATTGCTTCAATTTAAGTCTCCAGATCCTTCATGATATGTTGTGAAGAAGGCAAAACGCCCTTGCTTTTGGTCTTCACAGGCACCCTTACCTGAACGATCACAAGGAAAAAAACATGTTAGTTAATGAAAGTTATTTTGCAAGCTTGAGGAAGAACCCAGCATCAGAAACTAGTATTTCTTGTTTTTCTCGCCTTCTTCAAAGCATTAAATCCAGACATGGGAAGTATATGAAGGGATAGGAAGGGATTGCCATACTGATCTATTCTTTGGAGCAGGGCATTCAGCCTTTTCGAAATCAAGCCCACTAATAAGTTACCATCAACAATGCATCCTTGAATGCATACAACATAAGACTCACATCTACTGCTTTCTGTGTACTCTATTTTTTTTCTTTTCCAGTTGTGGCTTCCTAAGCAGATTTTGCAATTTTAAAATCTGTATCCTACCATGTTGTACTACCCATGTTGATTAGTTATGAACAAGGTCTCAGTGGGGCTTGCTTTAATTGCCTTTTTTGGACATTTCTCATGACTAGCACTTATAGTTACTACCCTGACTAGGAGTAATAGTTGGTAATGGGAAATAGAGCAAGATCTGAAAACCCAGAGGTGTGGAAGGTGGTGTCACTACTGGAGTTAGGCTACTTTTTCATGGTTCTCACTGTGTGCAATTGTTTTTATATCAATGTCAAGGACAGAGGTACATGATTACAAACTAGTCTCTGCACAAAGCAGGATTTTGCCCTGGGGTTTATGCTGTGGGTTTGCAATCACTCTGCTTTTATTCTCCTTCCTAATCCTAACCAGTGTCCAGAAACCATATCTACCTTCCCTGGGCAGGAGCAAGCATATTTCTAGATACAAATGAAGAACATCTTTGACAGAGTGGGTGAACTATAGTTCAAGCTTCTGGCTGAAGGATGCCTGTAGAACTGGGACTGTGTACATGCCATGCTATGAGAGTGTACATGCCAGTCCACTGTACAGCTGATACAAAGAGCAGGCAGGGTACAAGAAATAGCCAGTGATTTGATATTGTCCAATAGTGTGATAGCATAGCTGGAGAGGTAGATTCAAAAGGATCTTAGATACCATGCTAACTCTTAACCTAGCTCTGTCTTGTCAGTTGCTGCTGGGAAGGTCTAGGGGGCTATGATGAGCTCATTTGAGCTCATGGTTATGTCAGAGTTTTGGAAAGCTCACTCTGACTAACATAGCTGAGTCTGTGTCCAAGTCTGGATGAGAAGTGATAATTACCTGAAGGGTGAAAAGACATTCAGAGGAAGTGTCTCATAGGATTAAACAATTGGAGATGGGGTTAAAAGGAAAGGAAGACATTTGAGTTTCTGGTATAGGTGGATAAAGTGCATTTACACACACACACACACACACACACACACACACACACACGTATGGAAACAACAGTTGTTAAGGAAGAGGACCAGATATGTTCTAATTAGAAGATCCCTATGTAGTTGGGTAAATTATCTGACTTCTTCTTTTTCCCTACACATTTTGCATACTCATATTTGCTCTGATGAAGACTGAGTTTACTGGCACTTTCCTAGTTTCTCTTAGTTCGTGGTAAGATGAATGATACAGTACCAGACAGTAAGTGATTAACAGTCCATTAGTGGTCACAGTCCCTGGCCACAAAGATAGACTTGGTAGTTCCAACTTCCCCATTTACAACATGTTAAATATGAAGTGCCTGTTGAGTTTCCAAATAGTAAAGAACATGTAAGGAGACTGCCTGCACAGATTTGGAGCTTACAAAGTAATTTGGAAATTTGCTTTTGAAAAGCAAATCTTGACTCCTTGACTGTGAACCTTGATATTTTTAAAAGAAAGTTTATTTTTATCCTTTCTCTTATTCCTAGTGTTGGGGAGTTTCGATGGAACTTTACTGATGAAGTTAATTTTCAGTGTCTGCTTTGCCTTTATCTATGACTTAGAGCCTGACTGTATATGCACATGAGTAGCATTTAAATTGCAAATATGTGAGATGATAGCTATTGGTGGGAACTCCTTCTTCAAGAGTAGGAAAAGACAAAGTTGTCAGGATTCTGAATAGGAAGACTGTGTCAAATATATCCCTTGTTCAATCTTTTTAAATTTCTCTTATTAAATTCTAATGCCACAAATACAAAAGTATTTTTTTTATTTTGTGATAACCAGTCAGGTAACATTTGGCTTAAGGAACAAGGAGTAATCTTTTTCTTTTTGGTAACTCAGTGACCCATTCGCATGTTGTTCTTTTGTTAGGGTCACAGTACACGTAGGCAGAACCACATGGAGCAACTGCAAGAGGCTATACATGGAATTTTGTGAGGAATGCCAGGGTGGACGGACTTGGATATGTCGGTGTCGTCATTCTATAGAGCTCCATTCTTCTGCAGTCCAAGAGAAATGTTGCTAGAAGAGAATATTCTGTGGAATGAAACCTTTTTCCATATTATGACCAATATTTATTAAGAAACACATCTATTCTACAAATACCAAGTGTTATAGTCTTGAAGAAGCAGCCATTTACAACAGACCGGAGAACATGAAAATGTTTGTTAGTGGCAGAAGAGCCAAAAGATGGAAATTTTTTCAGCTGTTTGCCACTTGTTTTATATTAAGCTTCATGGCTTTCTGGGGCCCAACCAGTAAAAACATTGTGAACCATATGAAGTCCTACTCCTACAGATACCTCATAAATAGCTATGACTTTGTGAATAACTCCCTGTCTGTCAAGCACAGCTCCAAGCAACCTCACTACCGATACTTGATCAACCACAAAGAGAAGTGTCAGGCTCAAGATGTCCTCCTCTTACTGTTTATAAAGACTGCCCCTGCAAACTATGACCGACGTTCTGCAATCAGAAAAACGTGGGGCAATGAGAATTATGTTCAGTCCCAACTTAATGCCAACATCAAAATTCTGTTTGCCTTAGGAACTCCTGCTCCACCGAAGGGAGAAGAACTGCAAAAGAAACTGAATTGGGAAGATGAAGTATACAAGGATATAATTCAGCAAGATTTTGTTGATTCTTTCTACAATCTTACTTTAAAATTGCTCCTTCAGTTCAGCTGGACGAATACCTTTTGCCCACATGCCAAATTCCTGATGACTGCTGATGATGATATATTTATTCACATGCCAAACCTCATTGAATACCTTCAAGGGCTAGAGCAGATTGGTGTTCAAGACTTTTGGATTGGTCATGTTCATCGTGGTAGCCCTCCTATTAGGAATAAAAGAAGCAAGTACTATGTTCCCTATGAAATGTACCAATGGCCAGCTTACCCTGACTATACAGCTGGTGCTGCCTATGTCATCTCCAGTGATGTAGCTGCCAAAGTCTATGAGGCATCACAGATGCTGAATTCCAGCCTGTACATAGATGATGTGTTCATGGGCCTCTGTGCCAATAAAATGGGGATAGTGCCACAGAACCATGTATTTTTTTCTGGAGGAGGTAAGGTTCCCTACCATCCTTGCATCTATGAGAAGATGATGACATCTCATGGACACTTACATGATCTGCAGGCCCTCTGGATGGAGGCTACAGATCCTAAAGTAAAGAACATCTCAGAAGGTTTTTTGGGTCAAATATACTGTAGGTTAATTAAGATATTTCTCTTCTGCAGATTGACTTGCACAAGTGCATATACTTGCAGGGCTGCATTTGCTTAATAACACTTGAATGCTGCATGCACTATGTTCACTGTAACTGAGCCAAACAGAAGGAAAAGAAATCTTTAAGCGTTTCTCCATAACCTAAGTGAAATGAACTGAAAGCAAAGAGGTCATTTCAAATTCCAGAGGATTACAACATGTCCTATTACAGAAACTAGTCAATGTAATGCCTAATCCAAGGGTTTCAAATTTTAGTAGACTTAGCTCATGAGCAAAAGCAAAAGTAAAACATAATTCAAGTTCTTACTCGGTGCCACATGTCTTTGAGGTATGGAGAGCAATTGAGATGCCTTGATATCAAAGTAATGGTCCGGGGAAGTACCTAACAAATGGATAATGAACATTTCTAAGAAATTAGTATACCTTTAGAAACAAGCATTCCAATTTATTTTTATTAGAGAGTACTTGGCGGGGGTGAGCAGGGGGTATAGAAGAAAAGTATACCAACCTGAAGAAAGTTTCAATCTAATGGAGACATAAAGGAGAATGTCTACAGTCTTGTTATGATTGAATCATTTAACATTGACATTCCTGTAGCTATTTATCTAAACCGTTCTAGAACCATCTAAAAAATATATTTTCTCAAATTTAATTTTTAATATAAAATTTGAGAAAATAATCAGCTCTGTCCTCATTAGGACTTTCTGAAGATTTTCCCTAAAATTATCAAACTCTATAAAGAGAAATTACTGTCAACTCCAATAAACTGATTTTAACTTAATGAATTATTCGATGGGTTTTAAAGCACTAAATATTGGCCTTTGCTTAAGGTAGTTGTTTGAATAGTGCTTTTATAGAGGAATACAATATTGGAAGAAACTTAAAGGAGAGGCGGGGCTGGGGTGTAACTACACACCCAGAAAGAAAAGGCGAGGATGCAATAATGGCCCCTTTTCCTTGTAACTTGTAATATGTTAGCTTGGAGTCCAAATCACAGCAGTAATAACTAAGATCAGCCCACGACTTGTCAACAAGGTCTCGTAGGCCACAGATTTTGTTCTAAGTACAGACTTTTAACTTAAAGTCTTTAATGTGCTACCATGTCTAAATAATCCATTATTTAGCTAAATAACTATCAGCCATTATCTTCTCAGTATTTCAAACATTGAAGCAGAGCAAGAGTCATTGAGAAACTAACCAAGTGAGGCTGAAAGTTTCAGTAAAACTGCATTCTTTGTAACCAGAGATTTGGCAGATCGAATAAATACTGACTTTACAAAGTAAGATAAAAAATGTGGCTGTAATGCCAATGGTGCACCAGCATGGTAAGGACTAAGTGACGTCCATTGATGGAGACATGCAATGCAGACCAAAATAATGACCTCATAAAAAGCAGACGGGCTAATTAACAAACCTCGGACAGAGGCATATGTTAGGAAAGCCCAGCTACCATTATCATGGTGTTGGGGGAAAAACTAAGAATTTCTCAGAGTAACTAAATGATACCTGTGTTTTTACAGGTAGTTTGTTTTAATGTTTACAGAAATCTTTGTGAATTTTTCTACTATGAGATTTGAGGCTTCTTTACACTGCTTGGGTAATTTCTTACTAACCTCAAGATTTGGTGTTAAATATTCTTAGATACTTTTATGGTAGATTCAGGGTTTTAGATTATTACAGTTCAGATTTTTCTGATGATTTTTTTGTTTTAAGAAACTAGAAAACAAAAGCTTCATTTGAAAAGCAGCCTCATAGTTAATCCTCACCAGTTGGCTCTTTGATAACTGCTGGCTTTGGGCTCTATGTGCCCCAGTCTCAACTTTGAGCTGATGAAAGTTGCCACCAGCTGCAAAACATCATCTCTCTGTGGCTATTGGGGTGATCTTGTTTACATCCAGTCGTTATGAAGCTGTTATTTATTTGCTTCATTGAGCTCTCTTGAACTGCGTTCATCTTTCTTATTTTTGCTTAGAATAGAATGGAACCAGTTTAGGTACTTTTTGTCTTTTGGAGTTGTTAGATGATTCCAGCATCAGACCCAAAGGCTTGAGAAGTGTAAACAGAACTGTTCTAACTTTTTTTTAAAAGGAGAAAAACCTTGGTGCTGAAATGCAGGGCTGTTTTCAAAATGGAAAGCAAAACAGAAAAGGAAAATCAACTATTGGCCCAGATGGTCAAAATGTCTATGCACACAGTAATAGTGCTAAAAAAAACCTCTTACTTCTTGATTGGTTTGAGTCTTTTATTCAGCTATTAATTTTATATCAAAAGGTTAAATATTTTTATTGCTTGAGTTTCAATCTTGTGTGGCAAAATAATTAGAATGTCTAAAAAGCCTATGCTTACCAATAAATAACTTAAAAACCATCAGTAATGTGTATTTAGACTCCTGTGTGAGTATTATTTTGTATATAATCACCTTCTTTTTGATATTGCCCTATTTGTGTTCACATTGCTGCTCTGCTCAGTTCAGAGCATTGCCAGGTCTTTATTACAAAGCTATCTGACGAGGTCTGTTTCTGTGCTTGTGGGGAAATGCCGTTTCATAATCACTTATTCATAATGGCATGAAATAAAGAACATGCAACCTAGTCATGCCAGTTAAAGAGGTTAGACTCCATTCATTAGCTGAGTCAAAAAGGAATTTGGAAGTATCTGCATCATTCAGGTGTAGCAGAATTTTGTACTTGGAAGACATGCCTGGATTTATCTGTAGTTTGGACCAAAGATATTTTATCACTTGGAAGGACTCATTACTTAAAGTGAATTTTTGCGGTTTACCTGGACATCATAGCTACATTGAGAATGGGCCCTATGATCTCTGAATGTGCCCTTCTTCCATGATAATAAGAGAGCTTTAGATGTCTCCCTCACTGTTTTTTACTGATTGGAAAGGACATGTGTCTGAATTATGTATCTGTTCCAGAACAAGATTTAGTTAGCTTTCCTCACACTGTCCCTTTGCTCTACACCTCCAATGCTGCCTCTAATGCGGAACCTAAACTCTCGCACCTGGCTTTAGAGCCTCATCTCTTTATCCCCTGTAAAGTTTACTCTGCCCACTGCTGATGCCATCACAGATTCCTTTACTTTCGGTCCCTGGTGGTGCTGCGTTCCTTTGTCAAGAGCACTGCCTCTGTCTCATGCAGACAAAGGTGAATGTTCCATAAAGCCCTAGTTGTAAGAATCTGGAAGAAGCAGGTCTGTGCTGACGACCCTTACAAGGTCACTGCAGATCTCAGGTGGGCACCTCTCTCCCTGCCAGGCCCCACGGGAGGCATGACACACTTCCAGTCCTCTCTGCATTGCCCCTCTTGACCGCCCCCATTTCCTCTAATTATCTACGTGTCTCTCTCTGTGCAGAGACACAGCCTGAAACCTTCCACATCTGCCTTCTAGAGCCACAGCCACACCTGTGGCAAGGCCTACTAATTGTTCACTATTTTCCCCCTTGGCTAGTGTAAATTCTGGTAGTAGAGATTCCATATCCAATTGCCTAGAATGTTCTGGCAAAATATCACCTATGAAAATATTATTCAGAGCCCTTCATAGGTATTTTCTGATGTCAACATTTGCTTACAGTACCTGAAACTTTGCAATTTATGAAATAAAATCTGAATATTTCAGCGTCCGACATACTGTGTCTATAACTTAAGCGTGTGTCTATAACTTAAGCACCAATAACTTTTTATCAGTTACTTGTCAATCTAGACTATCAAGAGTCAATAAGGAAATTCATATTAAATAATATAGCTAACACTGGTGATCTAACATGTAAGATGGTAAAGCACAACAGCCTTGTAGATTCTTTAATCTCCTGATGAATTTGGCGAATTTTTCTGTAAGTTTTCACAAGAGCATACATTTTTCATTAACTGCTTCATGTTTTTCATGATTTAATGGTCTACTATAAATCAACACAATAATTCAACTAACTAAACATGTGTGTCTTAGTCAGGGTTACTATTGCTGTGATGAAACACAATGACCAAAACAACTGGGGAGAAGAGGCTTTGTTTGGCTTACACTTCCACAACACTGTTCATCATTAAAGGAAATCAGGACAGACACTCAAACTGAGAAGGAACCTGGAGGCTGCTGCTTACTGGCTTGGTGATTATGATTTTCTCAGCCTGCTTTCTTATAGAACCTAGAATCTTATAGAACCTACAATAGGTGGGCCCTCCCCCATTAGTCACTAATTAAGAAAATACTCTACAGGCTAGCCTACAGCCCAATGTTTATGGGGGCATCTTCTCAATTGAGGTTCCCTCCTCTCAGGTGACTATTGCTTATGTCAAGTTGATATAAAACTATCCAGCATAACATTTAACTAAGACTTTTACAATTATAAAAGGTATATGTTTCAAGGTAGAAAAATCCCAAAAGATAAATTCGTTTGTGGAAAACAACAGACCATATCACTGCCAAGTAGTGCTTCTTGGAGGACCTGCCACTCACATATTACGTTCAGAAATTCTCAAATTGGGCTGTTCACTCTAACTCAAGGGATATGTTTTGTTGTTTTAATTTACTAGTTTATATGTGCATGTATGATGTCTATAGTGTGTGTGTGTGTGTGTGTGTGTGTGTGTGTGTGTGTGTGTGAATGTGAGTGTTCATGTCTGTGAGTGCTGGCATGCAGCACACATGGAGCTCAGAGACTGTCTTCAGTGCTAGTATTCCTGCCTTGCTCAAAACTTGAGAGAGGACCTTTTGTTCATTACTGTATACTGTATACTGTATACTACAGTGCTAGCTCACAAGTTTCTTGAATGCTCCGTTATCTGTCTCCGACATTTTGCCTTAGGCATGATGAGAATTACAGGTGCCCACTACAGCATCCAGCATTACATGGGATGTAACTCCTGTCCTCCTCATAGGTGCACAGCAAGAGCTCTGTTTACTCTGCCCCCTCTGCAGCGCCAGGGATACATCTTAGTTAAAAAACAGCACTCTGTTTTTACTTGAAATAACTTAAAAGTGAATGAATATAAGGTAAGAAGTCATTTCGGGGAAACTTGTTAAGATCCGATCATAAACCCTTGGGATAAAAGTAATTCAAAAGTTATATTAGTCAGGGTTCTCTAAAGGAAGATAACTGATAGAATGAATATATATAGTAAAGGAATTTATTAGGCTGGCTTACAGAACATGGTCCAGGTAGTCCAACAATGGCTGTCTCACAGCAGAAAGCTGAGAATCCAGTGCCTGCTGGTCACAGTCTCAGCAATTCCAATCTCTCACTGAAGTCCTAGAGAATTCCTAAGAGCTCCTGAGCTTCAGTCCATGCAGGACTCCTGAAGATGTTGATACTTCAGAGGCAAAGGAAAGCCTCTGAAACAAGATAGACAAACTTGCTAGCGAGAGTGAGGGCAAGGAGACAGAGAGGCACAGTTATATCCATCCATGTCCTTTTATGTGGACTGCCACCATGTCTTATACAGTGTTCTGTTACTGTGAACAGACGCCGTGACCACAACCACTCTTAGAAAGGAAAAGCATTTAGTTGGGGATAGTTTACAGTCTCAGAGGTTCAGTCCATTGTCCTCATGGTGGGAAACATGGCAGCTGCAGGTAGACATGATAGCTGAGAATTCTACATTCAAGTCCACAGTCAGTGGGAACAGAAAGACTCTGAGCCTGGCATTGGCTCTTCAAACCTCAAAGCCCACCCTTGATGACACACTTCCTCCAACAAGGCCACACCTCCTAATTCTTTCAAATAGTGCCACTCCCCCATGACCAAGCATTCAAATCTATGAGCTTATGGGGGCCATTCTCATTCAAATCCCACACACCAGATTTAGGGTAGATATTCCTGGTTCAGATAATCTGAAAATTAAGAAAATAGTCCACAGTTATGCCTAACAGTTTAGGTTTTAGCTGAATCCAGATGTAGTTAATTTGACAACCAAGATTAGCCATCACAAGTCTACTCTTTATCAGTTTGATACACAATCACATCGTCTTATGTCATGCTTTATTTCCAAAGGAAAGCAATAACCAGGTCATAATTTCACCTAATAGGATATAACTATTCTACATCCTACTACAAATGTTTTATATATTTTAGAATAGGTGGCAAAATCCCTTGCTTAGTTTTTTAATGTCTTCTGATTTGAATGTAAACATATAGATAGATTTACATTTAATGACTGATTTTATCTCAATTGATGTTAAATAGAGAAAAGAAAATATAGATATTATAGTAAGATATGTGTATATGCATGTACAAACAGCTCCTTAACAAAAAACAGGGAAGAAATACTCCTGTCAACTATAATCATTGTTTCTTAAAAAAAATTTCTAGTGTGTCACTTGGCGATAAATAGTACCAATTGATTCTTGGATCCTGTCTATGGGAGAAACTGTGTCATATATTGGACACTGATTCAAAGAATATACCACATTTGGAGAACCCAGCCCCAGATTTCCACGTTCCTGCCCCATAGCTGGCACTGTAACCATTCCACCATTGTGTCAAGCCAGCTGCTTAACGATGGTGGGGAACATGATAAGACTATAGAATCCATAAACATGGGCCTAATGTCTTCTTCTCTGGCTGCGAACTGAGTTCCTTGGTCAGAAACAATATATGTGGAATACCATGATGATGGCTAAGTCCACTGATGACAGTTTTGCCAGAATCGTTATGTGCAGGAAAGACAAATCAATAACCGAATGTAATATCTATTCTAATAAGGACAAAGTGTTGCTCATTCTATGAAGGGAGCAGTCCGATATAGTCAATCTTACTAGGTTGATGACTGTTCACCCCCAGGGAATTGTGCTATATAGGGGGCTCAATGTTGGTCTCTGCTGCTAGCGGGTCTGGCACTCAGTAGCTCTAGCTAGGTCAGCTGTAGTGAGTGAAAGTTCATGTAACTGAACTCATGAATAATCTTCATCTCTGCCACCATGGCTATGCTGTTCTAATCAGTGAGAGGGAAAGATGTCGACCATCTGTGGATCAGGTCATCCTCTTTGATTCTTCAACCCCTCCTCTGATGAAGTCTCCTTGTGATGAGCATTACTAAAGCTGCACCAGGAGTGGGAGCTGCTGTGACTGGCCTGATCATGCCATTTCTAGAGGATTGGAGAGGGCTTGGGACCCTGATACTAGAGAAAAGGGGTTGAATTCTGGAAGCAGGGTTTAACTGGCTGTCTTAGTAGAAAACTGCAAGACAGTGCTGAGAGCAATGTAGACTGCGCAAACCCCCACTGAATAAGTTTGAGAAGGAACTATATATTAGCCACTCCTTATGCTAAGAATTTGTCTAAGGCTAACTTTTAAAGTAATGGACTGAATTCTTTGGCTTAGGGGGACTCAAGACAGCCCAATATTGGCTTTGTTACATGTTTATAGGTTACCACTTCTAAGCAGGTCTGCAACAACCAAAAAGAAAAAATGTGATGGAAAAAATCCTTGTGGCCAAGGTTTGTAAAGAGATAAAGAGATTAAGGGAGGCCTGACCTGTGGTGAAATGCTGGGAAGAGCACCCTCAGGCAAGACCCAGCCAGTTGGCATTCCAACTTTCTCTTTCTGAGAAAAGAACAACAAACAACAGCTGGTGCAAACATAACTCAGGGGCCAGGGGCCATCCCAAGGTAGCCCGCAAACTTGGCAGTGTCATCTACAAAGTGCTAGCTTCAGAGTCACAAAGGATTTATGAGTAAAGGGGTTGTGGAATCTTTGCCCGTGGTTTCAGAGATCTGCTGAGGCCACATGTGTGGCAGGGGCATCCTTGCCTGGAGTCCCCGAGAGGTCACATCTGTAGGAGTGAAGTCTGGTTTGAATTTGAGACCCCGAGATGTAGGAGATGCCAAAACTGTGGGTTATCTGCCAAGGAGTGGTACACACAGAACCAGGCCAAGAGAAAAATATATGTTGCAGGCAGCAAAGTCAAAAGGGCATAGTCATCTAACCCCCCTCACTTCTGCACGGAGCCACACACACAATTTGGCATTTGCTCTGCTGGGTTTTGGTCTTGCTTTGGTTCAGTATTTCCTTACTGTACTCTCGTTTTCCCCACTGGAATGGTACTGTATAGTCTAATCTATGATGTGTTAGAAATGTGTGATTTGGTTTTTGATTTTACAGTGGGTTACAGCTAAGATATTGCCTGAATTCTCAGAAAAGATTTTGGGTTTTTAAGCAGTTATGAAATGGCTAACAGCTTATGGGGGACAGAACGTAGAATGTGGCAGTTTGAATGAAAATGACCCATTGGTACAGATGTTAAATACTTAGACCTCAGTTGGTGACGTTGTTTGGGAGACATCCTTATTGGAGGAAGTACAGCACTGGAGATAAACTTTGAAAGTTTAAAGAAATGGCAGAAGTCGTTTGAGTTCACTTTCTGTTTCCTGCCTGAAGTTAAAGATGTTGCAGCCATCATGTGGGCCTGCCTGTTGCCATATTTTCCCACTGCAATTGATGGTGATGGGCTCTTAGTCTTCTGGAACCAGAGCACAAATGGATCCTTTCTCCCATTAGTCACCTTGGTAATGTTATCACAGCAGTAGAAAAGCAAGCTAACACAGAAGTCACACAACTAACTTGCCACTAGAATAGACTCATGATTTTGTGTATAAGGAAGTTTTGTTTGGGGTTTTTACCTTCCCTGCACA